CAAAATTTTAATGTTTGATGTTATAGAAGGTAAAATTTTAGTGTTTAGTGTTTTAGAGATACCCCCATCCAGACCCTCTTATTTCACAAGACAGGTAACTTAGGACGAAAAAGAAAATACAGTTCTTTGAACTGCGAAATCACGTCCAAAACAGATTTGTACGGGTTATCAGATGATTTCGAGTGCGGATACAACAACTCGAGTAAGTTTTTAAAAGTTAACAAAATTGCAATTTGAAGTGTCTTAAAAATTTTCGAGTGCTGATTTGTCCCAAAATTGCATGAGGAAAAATCATGTGATTATCTGTTAATGATAGCGGAGCCCGCAACGCGCACAAAGAAGCCCCATACAAATGTAAAATGGTAGGAACCCATCAAGCCGAGACATGCCCATTCGACTGTCCGTTCGCACAAGGTGCTACTTTTATTATGCGTGGCCAACTGCATTGCAAGCACGTCTCGGACGTTTCAGCATGACATGTATGCACACAGCTGAGGGAACTCTGAGTTCGAGATGATATTGATTGATGGTACTTTTAGCATGCGCAGCAAAATGCCTTGCGTACTAATCCGCGCCAAAGTGTCCGTGTAATAATTCGAAAAAAAAAAAACAAAACACCCTAAAATATGGATCAGCTTTTGTTATCAACGAATGTGTAGCGAGTACGACTAACATACTCAATGCCCGAGTGCAATTAACTATCGCAAAAATAAAATAATAATAATAATAACTCGGCCAATATTCAGCCATCTTGACCTCACGCTTAGTCAATGACGCAGATTTACAATAAGCTGGTTTCTATGAAGCACCTAGTTCTTGACAGAGGAAATTGATTGCGGATTGCAACTTGACTTGAAATTAACGAAATGATTGATTGGAAAACGGTTTAGCAATCCCCGTTCAAACAAGCGAATAAAGGTCCGACCTGTTGAGTCTGATCCATCTTTTCTGGTCCTGCAGATGTACCTCGCACTTTAGCAAGAATTAAAAACTGGGTGATGATCAAACATGAATTTATGAAAAATAATTTTATACCAAAAACGTTATTTTGCTCAAAGCGCTCTCGTTTCAACAAGAAGTCTTGTTGTCTCTATCTTTTTGCCAAATATTTCATTTGGATATGTTGTAAATCTTGTTATTTATTGTGTGGTATGCAGGAGAAAGTCCCAACCGCATTGCTTTCACAAGGCAAAAATCTACAAACATAAATTAAAGTAACGTTTTGGGATGGTGGTGAAAGCGATCGATGCGAAGGGCGTTATCTTGGAAGAACCCACTGAAGCAAAAACTGAAATTTACCAGAAATTTGTTTTAGTACAAATATTTCTTGACATGAATCGCAACCAGTAGGGATGAATACTGTTGTATATTAGGGTTCGTCATATACTACTATAGAGTAAAGCGTGCACAGACCAAGTACTCTACACAACTGCTTTATTAGAATGCCATGAAGTTAATTACTCACAATGATATATGAGCATAATCACGTGACTGAGGTAAAAGGTGTGCTAACCAATGGAATAAAGATTATATAATAGCCAAAGTATTTATCCAAATAGGAACAAACACTACAAATACCCAAACAAAAAAAACCAATTTCGAGTAAAGAAAAGTCAGATAGCGGTAGTTGTATCCAGGAAGATTTTATAAGAAATGGGGGAAAAAGTGCGGATTTTATTAGAGAGCAAGAAACGTTTTGGAAGTATTTGTCTTACAAACATCATCAGATTTGGAAGCTAGAAATTAGCAATAGTTAACACTTGTGATATACTTTGATAAAACCGGAAAGCATTTTCCACGTAGGATTATGATGTGACTAATTTCATTAATTTGAATACTTCATTCCGACCAAACTACCCCTGAACCCAAACAGACGAGAACTGCACCATTTGTGGAAGCATAGGTGCAAAGACATCCTCAGCTTCTGAATGGAATTTCATCCTTTCTAAAGGATGAAAAAATGTGAAATAAAACCAATAAAACTTTTGGGCTTCCTGTTAAAAAGTAAATTACTGAATGAAGATTGCTGGTCAATTCCAACACCTCCCGCCACTGGTTAAATTCCAAATAAAAACTATATTCATTAATCCTTCACCTGTGCATCAAAAACTGATATGCACTTGACAACTTTATTTTTCAACCTTTTGAAATAACATGCATTCTGTGACAATCCGATGGTCTCATGAGACTTATTATCGGCCTTAAAAAGAAAGAACTTCTACAACTAATAGTATCAGTAAGGATGAAAGTCGTCGTTGTTTTGAAAGCCGGTATCCCCTTGGAACAAAACTGATAAAATTAGATGACTTAATTAAAACAATAACAGTATTGTCAACCTTGTAATGATATCATACAGTATTGCAAAAGTAGAAATGAAACTTGTTCTGGAGAACTGCCATGGGGCTTTGACATCATCAACCCCATAGGTATAATAACTTGCACTAACATTAAATTGACATTTCACTTGTTTGCACCTGATAAAGATAATTAAACAAAGAACAATTAAACAAAGCATCAAAGATATTCGACACTTTGGTTCTGTCACTAGTTCTCGCCTTACAAAAAAAAAAAGGTTGCTTCATATATTTACAATTTTTGCAATCCTCTCCAAGAGAACCATGCTCTTTATCTCAGGAGTAATCACAAAAATCAAGACGGCATTAAAACAGAACTGAAGTCAAAGGGGGACTTTGATACTGCATATGATGTAGCAATGTGCCCTTTAAAGAAACTCATTGTTTTTCAGCCAAGGGATTGGCCATGCCAATTTTACTATGGGCAAATCATATACGAATCACCTAAGAAGTTTATCAGCTCGTATCCTGGGTGATCAGACACTCCTCCGCAACAGGAACATATTTTAACAGGTTTTTCCTCGTACTGTTACTCAATGACATCTGGTATTACTAGAAATCTCTCGAAGAACAACTTGCCACAAGAAACATCACAGACATTCATTCTATCTATAGTACCAACTATTGGGCCACTTAACATCTCCTAAACGGCAGAGAACATATAGTTGATTCCTACCATCAGTTTTTCAAAAACAGTATATGAAACAATTTTCCCAAGACGCAAATTAGCAGGTAATCCCAGACTCTGGAGACTTATACGATGCACTTTAATGGCACTGTAATGGCCAAGTTATCCAGGTTCAAAAAGTAGAGTATAGGATCCTACCCACTTTATTAGACAGCTATATACCTTTGGTGTTCTCAGTATATAACATTTCTTTCAAACATAATTTCTTTGAGTGCTCAAGAGCAACGATCAGAACTTGGATCATGTTTACTTGCCTCCAACGCCGGCACTGTAACAAAGCACCACTTGTTTCGATCAACATCTACTCTCACTGGGGAAAACACGCTCTACAACTGTATAACCTACTTAGGAATTTCTATCGCCAGTTTTGGTGAAAACACCCATAGCATACTCTGTTCGCAAACAAAAAGTTCTGATACTATTGATGAATTTAGGACAAAGGAAAAGTACATTTTCCAGTCAAAGGATAACCAGTCCCACTACAGGTCATTTGTCACCAAACCTAAGCAGTTTTCTTTCTCGCACAATCAACTTCGCGTGTTAAAAGTAAAATGTGCTCAAGTACTGTCCTCCATGTTTCTAAAAGTCTCCAGAGTCCAGGACAAAGTCTATTCTCCTCAAACAACAGATACAACACAAGTGTTCCAACTCATGTCACACTGCCAACAATGTATCCCAACAAATATATGAAGACTGCTGTTTACCTCTAGGGTATCACTGTGATACCAAGACAGATCAAACAAAAGAATGTGATTTAACTCTGGGTAACATTTCCAGCCAGGATGAGAATTGGAACCTCTTGTAAGGTTGCTTTCACTCGTTCCACGGTGTTTGTCTCAATGGATCAACTTCATGTCCACTGTGTAAGGAGATTCTGCAAAAAAAAAGAGTAAGATACCTTTGTGAGACAGCTAACAAAAGCCAATCTACATCCTTCATCTAACATGCATAAAAATGAATCCCAACGAATCACAATGATAAGACATGAGCAGTACCAACAGATTCTTTAATTGAAATCCCTGAGGTAAGAGAGATTGTGGGGGGGGGGGGAGAAGTTTGATAGGGTCGTCAGACGGCTAAGCAATGAAATTTCCAACCTTAACCCAGCAACTCAACCACTTGTCTCTATCAACCTTAGCCAGAATCAAACTCATAACCAAACTTTCACCCAACAAACCTCCCCACTATAGACAATGTCTCCACCCTGTTCGTGGGCACAAGAGGCACAACACAATGATGACATCAGTTGTTGAAATTGTCCTTGTTCATGGCACACAGCAAACCAGCATAAAAGTACTCAGAGTGCTTGCAACAACCAATCAGCTTCATTATCAATACCAGATTCTAACACTACTCTTCGCATAAATGTCCCTACTGCAAAACATCTTGATATAACTGCCCACGTGCATTTGCCAGTCCTTCATAGGTGGAAGACCTAGCAGTAGTAATGCCTGCAATGTAATTGCAATACTAGCAGCATTTAATTTTCTAAAAGGAACCCTTCAAATTCCCAAACTGTTACAAGACGTCAATAACGCTATACCCATGTATACTAGTGTCACGATAAAAGGCATTCAGTCACGTGAATCTTTCAACCCAGCAGCTCAGCAATAAATTTGGAAGTCAGACAAGTCTTTCAGCAAGGACAAAGTAATGAAAATTTGAAGAAACTTGAAATCATTTCAAACCAGCGTTTCTTAACTGGGAAAGATCTTGAAGACCATCTCACAAGACACCATAAGTATTCTCCTACGTTTGACTTAGTAATCAGTAGGAAAATATGCTCTCCTCGGAATATTATGTTTGTTTGGGCATGTGCACTGGTATGTGTGTAATGCGGGGGTATAAATTTGGGCGGACAGGTTTTGCCTTTCATTTTATTCGTGCTATTCCAGCGTTCATGTTATTTTGACGTTTTATTGTGTGTGTTCTTTCTGCTTTTATTTTGCGGCTGTTTTCAGTTCTACCATGTGGTTAGATCTTCGGGCTGCTGTTCCCCAGAGATCTGGTGTTTTGCACTACCTTGCAAGTTCTCACCCGGATGTTGTGTTGGCCAGTAGAGCACCCAGTACTTCATCCAGGTATTTCTCTTCTTACAACAGATGGAAGTCTTAGGCCCGAGAACATGGCATGACACCTTTTCCTGTCTATGCTCCCAATCTACTCTACTAATGTTCCCAATCTACTCTACTAATGTTCCCAATCTACTCTACTTGGCTGCTTATATCACCCACCTAAAGCTACCACCTTTTTGAACTGTATGTATGATCTGCTTAAATGTAGAAAATTCCTTAGTTGTTGAGTGCTCTAATAGTTATGATCTTCGAAAATCACTAAATATTTTACCTGATAGACCTAATACTGATCTTGGCCGTAGTTCTTTAGCACACAGAGGAGCAATTACATGGAATTCATTAATGGATAATTAAAGACACTTTTCCAATCCAATTGCTTTAAAAAAAAAAGGCTTAAAAGGCAAAAAGCGATGTTGTAAATATAAATTTTGGAAAGGGGGTGGCTCTGTTGTCTATAATAAGAATTCAAATTCCTACTATTTCTGATATATTATGACACATTTATATTTACATTCATTCTGTTTCTTATTTAAGACTTAACTCAAGGTTTATTCATCTTATTTTACGTTTATTTATCCTTTATCTTAAAATATAGCAAGTCTACATCAGTTGTAATTTTGCCATTTTTAACCTACTTATTATATAAAGATATGATATGATGATGATGATGATGATGATGAAGTTCTTAAATGAAGATAGTGTATTCAGTACGTCTTTGCAGAATGCGTTCTGCATTCAGGACTTCTGCTCATTTTCCACTGTTTGATTGTCGCTACTTTCGAACTCTTGAATCATCCTGGAGAGGTCAGGACCTGCCACCATCCATCTTCTCAAAGCTGATGGATTATCCGTGAGACCAACTGCGCCTCCTTCCCCTTTTACATTAGCATAACCCTGTTCGTGCGCAGGATGCGCACAAGCAGGAGATGCTCGAGGGTAAGGAGACGCCCCGAGGGTAAGAGCATCCACTCCACCTATGGCGATGGTATCCTATCGAGTACTGAAAGAACGGAGATGAACTTACCTGTGCCTTGCACACATGAAGAGGCAGACACTCGCCGTATAGTCCATGTACTTGATGCCGCCTACGTACGGGGCCAAACCCTCGTTTGTTAACCAGTGCTTCCAAGCCCATCAGACTGGGGGTGGCGGTAGCTCAACAACTCGTGGTCACCATTCTGGACAGCTCTACCGCAAGCAAAGGAATCTTCACACGAACTCATTCGATGTGGATGCAGAGCTCCGTGTAGAGGACGATACAAGTGCTTAAAAGCTAATTTGACATGCACTAGCTTGTGCTACAGTGGCGGCAACTGCCAACTGCCATAAATATTTACAATGGTGTCACTGACGACTAGAGTAGATCGATTAAGAATTAGGCATTACATCAATCGTTTGTTGAATTTCGTTAGATAAGAAAACATTTCAGGATTTCACCTAAAGCGTCGTTCAGTGCAGCTGAACAATTTACCACAGGAATCCCAAATCTGTTAACCAAAGCTTATTTATAATAGCTGGTGAATTTAATAAAGTAAAATCTAGCAAAGACATAAGCTTTATGTTTCTAAGATAAACAAGTTTTACCAATCGTGATTCAGAAAATAATGTAAACAGGTATATTTAACCTTTAACCACAGGACACCCAAACATTATGATAACTCAAACAGGATAGTCATGAAATGGCATAAGATGAATACGAATAGATAGAAAATGACTCGGTTGTTATGTTTGAAGGCTTTTGTCGCAAATTTTCCCAAGCATTGTTGTGTACGAGGATTTTTTATTCTTAGCCTCGTTTCTATGTTAGCGAATTTCTGACATGCGTGCTTCTAGTCTCCAGAAGTTGTATTGGATTGGCCCTATATCAGAAAATGTTATTCTTAGGGTCATAAGTGTTGTCAGTGCCGGTCATAACCATTTCTGGATACTTGATGACGTCACCAATATGGATGTCGTTGTGGGACCTCGAGGAAACTCATTCATTACTTTATTCGAGCCCTAGCGACTTTGTTCCCGAGCTATATCCCATGAAACCTTGCAAAATTACAGAAGAGAAGCACTTACACACAAAATTGATGGCGATCGCGATAACGAGACAAAAAGAAGAAGAGTCGGGTGGAGGTGCTTGTTGTGAAGGGCTCGATCGAGGAATAACCTCTCTTTAGTTTAGGTTTTCAGGTATGCATCATTTTTTGACTCCTAAAAAGGCTCTTTTAAAAAACTAGAATAAATTTGCTTCCAATTTGTCAAAATTCCAGAGAGATTTTCGAGATTTTTGCTTGAGTAAACGGATGTTGAAGGTCTGTTAGTGTGCAAACTACTAGGCGGATTCCTTTGTTCAGATCCATCGGAGTATCGTGTATGGTGGCCGAGAACTGCCAATAAAAAAATCACATATTTTTGTGCAATAAATGTTAGTTTGACTGAGGTATAAATCAAAACTAAATAAAACATAACGTAAAATGAAATGAAATTTAAAAGTAAAATGACATGAAAATTAAAAGTACAGTGAATGTTAAAAATAAAACTACTTTATTTTTAAGTTGAACAAAAATGAAAATACAGTTCAAAGTGAAATATAAAGTCAATTGCAAATGAAATCTAAAATGCAAGCGAAAGTGAATTTCACCGTGGCCGAGCGCTGCCACTACCATCATGCTACGCGCGCTCACCAGCAACAGAGCCGACCACGTGTTAGCTTGCAACATGGCGGAGTGGAGGCAGTTCGCGTCAAAAAAGAGCTGCGAAGGGGAAACGACCAGCACGAGAATCTGTAGAGGCGAAAGATGAAATAATTGTGCAGAGGATGAGTTCCGAAGTAACTGGAAAACAGCAAAAATACACCTGGATTGGGCCAAGAGAATTTGTCCCATTCGAATTCGATGATATAACTTTCCACAACAAAGTAGAATCTTGCCAGAAGTACTTTGCTGCCCAAATCGATAAAGATACGGTTTGCGACATCTTAGCTGGCGAACGTGGGCCTTCTTGTAAGAAGATGTGTCAAATTTCAGACCACAAAGTATTCTATGTGCGCTTTATAAAAATGTTCGATGCCGAAGTATCAAATGATCAGGATGAGGAAGAACACAAGCAACAGATGCACAATGTATGTGACAACACTTAAGAGCTTAATGCAGGTGCATTAAAATATATGATCACATACAGAGCTTTGCAATATCAGTGTCACCCGCCCGGGAATGGGGGGAGGGGGGGCATCAGTTTCCACGGTGAACTTTTTTTAGGAGAAGGCATGGGATGAA